TTTCCTAGGCCTAAAAGCTTACATATCCAATGCTTCTTTAGTGTCTTGTTTTCACCTTCACAGAGGTTAGTGTCTGCCATGTTTTCCAGAATCTGCACCTTCCATCACCATTCTTTCCAGGCCATAGTGACGTTTAAAATGACCAAAATACCCCAGCTTGTTATCTTCCGTGGTTTGTATAGATGACCTGCCTGGCCTGGGGGCATCACCGTCAGATCTTTGAGATTCTTTTTTTGGCTTTAGAGTTTCTAGTGATATATAATGTGATTGCCTCCCCCTGCTTTCCACATGTCTTAGCAACTCAGCCTTCAGCAATTGTTTAGATTGTAGGGGGAATACCCTACTCTGTAATGCTATTGCTGACAGCAGATAGCACCCCCGAGGTATCTGCTTATCCTGGCAGATACTTGGTCCACAAGACAGCGTTAGCTACACTGAGGTGCGGGTCTATCCTCCTCGGCAAGGAGAATAACCAGTAGAGACTATATTTAATCGAACTGTGTGGGAAGTCAGCAATATTACTGTTTAAAACAGCTTTATTCAACATTTTTGCACCCAGAGACCAAAAAATTAGGTTAGGAGACATAATTTCACAGACCATCTGTTGGTTAACAGAAAAAAAATATCAAGTATATTTTATTTATTAAATCATATGTGGGGACATTTTTGGAGAACCATCCAGAAACTTTCATGAACCAATGAGCCAGTGCACCACAGGTTGAAAAACATTGGCCAGAGAACTCTGTATATCACTTCTACATCCCAGGATTCTTTAAAATTGAGAGAATCAATTTCATTGCACTGTGTTTTGGCTGATATGCCTCTCTCCACAGAGCAGCAGCTGCCTGCAGAGAGCATTTCACAAAGCATGTAACTCCAGTGGTGATCACCAGATTAGTGGCACTATAAGATTAAATAAAAAAAAGAATAAGTCATCTGTTTTTGGGAAACTTTGTTGACCTTCAGTTTAAAAAATGTGTTTGCTAAGAAAGGAATTAAATTATTTGTAAGACACATTCCGCACATATTTATTTTATACATGTTTTTTATTTATTATTCTCATTGTCAGCATCTATGGTTTAGGCATTGTGAACAGTGCCCAGATACCCAGTTCAGTTCCAGCTGCAGGCAGTTTGGCTGCAGACCACTTTGCATGGATTTTGACAATGTGTGAAGTGCCGACCTTCAAGAAGCAATCGCGAACTACTGAACATGAAATTGCTTAATAAAAACCAAACAGTCAAACAATGCTGTGGTTGGTAAGGCAGTGTCATGTAAACTGTAGCCAACGAACACATTTTTTTTTTCCAGATATATTTTCTTAGGCATATACACAGCAGAATGTGTCATCAAAGTAGTGGCACGGGGATTTATCTTTAACAAGAACACATACATGCGTGAGCCCTGGAATTGGTTGGATTTCTCCATTATTGTCACAGCGTAAGTGAATTTTACTGCATACACATGTACTTCTACATTGTATTTATTGTTTTTCTATCACCTTTACAAAATTACTGAAACAATTTTTGAAATAATTTTTTTTTAATCCTCTGGGAAACTAAGTTTTATCTTTTAAGCTTAGTGCATTTGTGTGTAGGTCACATGAGCTCTGAAAATTGCTCTATATTTATGATGAGCTCTGAAAAAGGCTCTGTATTTATTGTGAGCTCTAAAAAAAAGCTGTATATTCATCATAAGCTTTGAAAAAAAAACTCTATGTTTATCAAAGTGAGGTTTGTGAATGAACCATCTTCAAAGGGAATATGTTGCAAAGCTTTCTTTCCAAGCTACAAGATCTCCCCATGTGGATTCTGAGAATTCTTGGGTGGGGGGAGCGGGGGTAATAATATACCTACAGCAACACCCCACCCCCCTCATCCTCCCCCCAATAAGCATGTCATAAAAGGATAAATAACAAATGTGTGACTAGAAATCTTAGTGGAGTGAATGGAACAGGCGCACAGAAATACAAACAAATGATTTGACCACAGTCTTTATGAATTGAACAGAGTACTAAATGCAACACAAACTGTGATGTAAAACTCAATGGACAGGACAACTGAGCTTCTAAACAACCAAGGTCAACATGAAACCAAGAATGTATGTAATGGGTGGAAAAAATTGAAAACCTAACTCACAAGACTATGAGCATCTAATCAACCAAGGTCAGCATAAAGCCACAAAGTACATAATGGGGTGAAAATATTTTGTGCACCATATTAATAACAGTGCTAATAAATAAATAAGCACTAAATTAACTCAGAAGCTAACAGTATGTGCAAGACTGGTTGGTACTGAAACCTCACAGCTGTGAACAGGCACATAACCAGTCCATGATTCATGTCAAGACAGTCTGCTCGGGATAAGCAAGTTTGATAATGAATCATGTTTTCTCCAGAGGTTTTAATTGCTTCCTTATCAACAAACTTCAGTCCAATACCAAAGGAAAGACCTGTTAACCCATAGCTGTTCCATTCCTGTGTTGTGGAAATCACACAAAATGCCCTTCACTGTCACATTTGAAAGACTTGAAACTTTAACTAAAAAAACATAATTAGCAAAAGACTTTTAAGTGGAATTAGTTTTCACTTGTTTCAGGTTTATGACCCTCTTCCTGCAGTATGTTATACCTACTTCATTGGATAACTTTAAAGGTCTTCGCGCAGTCAGGGTCTTAAGGGCACTCAAGACAATTTCTATTGTTCCTGGTAAGTTGTGATTTTCTTTTTCACCATGCTGATAACAGTATTACAGTTTTTATATTAGTATTACAGAGACACAGCGGCTCCATTCACTTCACGAGTGCAGTTTTTACGGAGATCCCTTGGGGATTGTCACCTGAGCTACAGAGTTTGTGCTCTGTGTGATGCTCTTGGCAGGCAGCTAGCTGTTCTACTGAGAGAGACTGTCATAAGGGGTAAAACCTGGTGAAATGAAGTCAATCTTCTCAGCTGTTCCTGTTCACCTGTTGAATTAATTGTACAATAACCTAAATTATGGCCATCTCCAAGGAGAAAGAATTTTTTTTTTAAAAAGTTAGTTGCTTATCCTTTACAGGACATTGCAGATCCAACCCCAGCATTTTTTGGCTGGTGTGGTTTTTCAAGGCAAATTTACGTCCAGTAGTTTGCTATTGCTTTCTGGACGGTCAGCTTCTCGATACCACTGTGGAAACCGATGCAAGGCCCACAGCTGGAATCGAACCCGGCACCCCAACATTACAAAGCGCATTCCCAACACCTGAGCCACAGATGCCAAAAGAAATAACACAGAAGAAAAAACTGTCCTTAACTGCCTTTATTGCCACTTTTGCAGTGAAGGCAGGGGGGTCTTTGAGCCTGAGGATTTATGGCTAGTGCGTCGCCATGACTGTGCAGGTCAAGATTTTATTTTCCCAGCTTTACCGAGGCTTCGAACCTGGGTCTCCCGCTTGAAAGCCCATTGTTGCAACCATTTGGCCGGCCGCTTCTCTCTAGGAAATATCAAAATAATGTGACAGTTCTTAATCACATGAATCAGTATAACTATTTTGAAACAGTCATAATATACACTGGAAGATGTCTTGTAGAGAGTAGAAAAAAAGCAATGATTTGCAGGATAGAAAACATACACCCAAAAAAAAACTGAGAAAAAGAGTATTGAAGTGCAGTATAAATACTATATTCTTGTAAATATTTGAAGCCGCCATGGTGTAGTGGCAAGACACTTGCATGCAGATCAAAAGGTAATCGGTTCAGGTCCTGACAGAGCCATACTTTTTTTTTTTAATGACCTTGGTTCTTAGGTCGACACAGCCTTGCACAGCCTTATATGGGTACCTGGTACACTCATGGGAGGTAAAGGTGGCTGCCGTGGTTTTGATCACATCACCTTCTGAATGCTGATTGGTCTATAAAATACAGGTGTAGCTTTATATGCTCAATAGGCATGAAAAAAAAAAGGATTTTTTTCTTCAAATTTATGTTTAAGGGAAATATGGACAATTAACCTACAAGCTGTGAAATATCTGATGGTAGCGTAAATATGTTTTCTGAGAGAAAGCAAAGAATACTAAAGACAGATTGAAGAGTGAAGGACATGGTCCTTCAAATGACAGATGAAAATAGATTGATTGGAGAAATCATAGGAAACCATTTTGGAACTTTTTACACTTATTAGACAAAATTAGCTAGAAAAATTAATAAACCAAACAGGGAATTCATTTTTGATTGATTAAGGGGGAAAAAATGTAGGCGATACTTTTATTAGCTTAAATGTTGTTGGTTCAAATCTATAGTGAGGCATATTTGATTATAGTCATCCGCCAGATCGATCAAGTCTAAAATAGATATCAGGAAATGTCTTGGGAAGCACAGAGGACCAGCATGTTTTTGACTATAACACCCATAAGTTTGCTGATTGATCCATAATAAATATATGGGTCTAGCACCATATGCCTGATGAGCCAAAAGTCCTTTTGTTTGGCTTTAAAAAGAGTTCCCCCTGGCCCCACCCCAACCAACATTATAATATTACACTATTTTTCAAAAAACTTAGCAGGACCTTCATTGTTGTCACATTTATTGATTAATTTGATTTTTTTTTTTTTTTTTTTTTCGGGAAAGGGTGGTTGGTGTAAGGTTTAGGGAAAGAAAAAATGTCTGATGCAGCCAGATCTGCAGAAAAGGTGGCTGTGGAAGAATTGCAATATGGAAATCTTTGGCTCCTAGCTGCTCATTCAATGTTTTTTTTTTTTTAAAAGGCATGTATGCTGTCTTGACACCCCCCCCCCCCCCCCCCCAACCCACCCAAAAAAAATTATGAGATGTGCTTATGCTTTAATTTGTTGGTTACAGCTGATTGAGTTCAGTAAGTATAGGTATAGCCCTCTATTCCTGATACATCCCAAGGTGTGGGAAAATAACTCTTTACTTTCTTTTATTCACTGTCTTTTTTTTTTTTTTTTAACTTTACTTGGAACATTTGAATTAATTTAAAATATCTTCATATTGATCTTTCAGGACTGAAAACTATTGTCAATGCATTACTTCGAGCCTCCAAGATGATGTTTGATGTTATTCTGCTCACAATATTTTGTCTGATGGTATTTGCCATGTTTGGGCTGCAGCTTTATTTGGGTACTTTGAGGCATAAATGTGTGCTTGAGGTGAAGGGCTACAATGAGAACGATGCATTGATGTCGTATGATGAATATTATTCTGCTTGGATTAGAAGCCCAGGTATGGAAATAATTTATGTTTAAACTTTTTTTTTTTTTTTAATACTTAGTTGCTCCTCTTCTACCTTGGGGTGTAGAGGTTTGCCAGAGAGATTGTCAGATGTCTCCATCAGCAGTTTTCTTTCTGGCTTTGTTCCATTCCACATCTCTGTCAGTTAGGGACTGTCGGATGTTGTCTTCCCAGCGGACCCTGGGTCGCCCTGGAGGTCTGGTTCCCTGGTTCTTAGCCTCCCACACCTGCCTCGGTGGCTGATTTTCTCCCAAATTGCATATGTGTCCAAACCATCATAACTGTGACTCATCCATTTGGGTTTGTAATGACTGGGTATCAAGATCTTAATGTATTTTCTTATTTCGGACTTTTTCCCTTCTTGTCACTTGGACCGCCTTTCTCAGATATCTCATTTCTGAAGCTGACTTCTCTGAGCTGTTCTCATTGCCCTTGACTCACACCCATGGGTCAAGACTGGCACATAGGTAGAGAGGTAAACAGTTTTTTTCGTCCTCTTGCCGATTTCTTTTTTGCTAAGAAACCCTAGGTTTATGGTCTGGAAAAGTCTCCCAGCAGCTGCTTTTCGTGTAGCCAGCTCAGTCTTAATGCCTCCGTTTCGGTCGGATACAACTCCAAGGTATTTGAACTGGTTGACCTGCTCCAGTGCATACTGACCCATCAAGATCTGGTGTTTCTTCTCCTCTCTTGAGATCACCATGGTTTTAGTTTTGGAGATACTGATGGTCGTCCTTCTCTTCTCAGTCTCTTCCTTCCAGACAATTTATGTTTATAGTGTTGCTTTATTTCTCTGCTTTCTATGCGTATTGGGCATTGCTCAAACAGTATTTAATAGACCAGGCAGCACTCGATGGGTGACATGATCAGTGGCCGCCTTTACTTCTCAGGACTTTAGCTAGTACCCATTGAAAGCTAGGAACTAAGGTCATGTTGAAAAAAAGTCTTGCTCTGTTCGGATTGAACTTATGATCATCTGATCCACAGATGAATGTCTAGCCGCGACACCACTGTGACTCTTTCTTAGCAAAAAAGAATTAGTTAAAAAAATAATTTACATTTTCTTTTGTGTGTGTGTGTTTCTTGTGTGCTTTTATAGAAGAATTAATGTTAGGGACATAGCTGCTAATCACAACTCTCCAGGTATAGGTATTTATTCGTAAAGTAAACTATTAAATACAGTTTCGCAAGTATAACATATTGTTTGATTTAAAGTGTCTAAATTATTTGCTGAGACATTTCTCCAGTATTTAGTATGTTTCAATCATAAACTGCAGAGATTATGTTTTATAGACGAATGATGAGAATACCCTGAAGACATCTCGAAAGAAACTGATTCATGAAGAGAACTGATTACCCACATCAGAAAGAGACAATCTACATTCTTTGGTCATGTGATGAGAAGGAGAAAACTAAAGTACATCGTGATAGTAGGAAAGATGGAGGAGAGGCAGAGGGAGACCTAGAGAACAGATGCTGGACAGTTTGACATCATGGTATGGAGGATCATCTGTGTCAGAGTTGATTGAAAGTACACAAGACAGAAGATTATGGATAGACATATCTACCAGCGCCACACAACATGGACTTTAGGAAGAATAAACCATAAAGAAAGGGTCAGGATGTTTGCATTGTGCAAAACATTTATTTAGACTAAAGATAATTTGAGATTATTTATGAACATGTGCTGTCTGTATGGTGAGTTTGAATAAGCTTAATATCCTAACCTTCAAGACTAAGATCTTTAAGATTTTGTTTAATTGTATATTATTTCCCTCTCTGGAAGATTTTAATAATTTAAACATGCTAAATGAATTGTCTTTCTTATGAGAGCGTCAGATGAAATGTACAGTTACTGTGGTTGCCATCGCTTGTGTTTAACAAGCTTCTTCTCAGACACTCAGCTGCTAACCTACCTGCAGTTATTTTCTGATTTGACCCTCCACTAGAGGAGCAGCAGCAGCTAATCTATCAGCGTGCTCATTACCACATACACCAGAATATCATGTGCAAAAAAATCCATAATATGCTTCTTATCCGAGTCTTATCAAGTGTCACAAGCCACTCTGAGTTCAGGACACTAGTTTATGTTGTCCAAAGCTTAGTCAGTGAGCCATTTATGATTACAGCATGTTGGGCTGTACAGCTCTCCAGTACTGTGAAGAAGAGTGCTGAGATCTAGTTGCGATCTTTCCGTTCACTCAAATTCTGTTTGCTAATATGTGTGTGAGTTGTGAGGTCCCTAATTATAACATAAATTATCAATGGTTTGACATCTGAAATGTGGCTCCTCAAAAAAATCAACATAATAACGCAGAATGGCTGATGGAGTTAAAGGGGCAGCAATCATGGTAAAGTAGATTTGTCTAACGACTATCCGTGACTGAAGACATCAAGAAAAGTCAAGTTGTTAATATATTCTAAGCATCTTGATACAATGTAAGATGTAAACAGGGAGCCACCATGGTCCAGCGGCTAAATGCTTGCCTGCAGATCAGAAGTTTGTGGGTTTGGATCCTGACATTGTCTCCCAGGTCAACCCAGCCTTGAGTGGGTACCAGGTTCAGTCCTGGAAAGTAAAGGCGGCCGGCCTGATGCTGATCACTTCATCCACCAAGTGCTGTTTGGTCTATAAAATATAGGTCTAGCCCTATATACCCAAAACGCCTGAAGGCATGCAATATGGTCCTTTAATATGTAAACATGGCAACCTACTGAAATGTAAACATTGCCAAGGTAAATCACAAACTGAAAAAAAAAAAAAAAAAGAATGTTGGGGATGGTTCTGCAATGACCAGCAAAGTATACGCAACTAACGTTGTTTTGTTTACGCAACTAACGTTGTTTTATTTAAATATGGAAACAAAAATATAAAGGACCTTTATCAAATCTTTGGCAGTATACCAGGCATGTGATGCTAAGATTGCTGTGTTTAAAGAGCAATCAACACTCAGCTGATCATGTGGTAGCTTTACACCTGCCACTGTTACTTTCCAGGACAATTCCAGGCAGTCATTTTAGGATGGGCCAACCTGAGAGCTCTAGGTTAATTGTTTAAAAAGCTGTCACATTGCGGATTCAAACCCGAGACTTGGTTAGGCAGACATGTGTCTTGTCATTATGCTACCACTGCTGTATGTTTTATATGTGTCATGTCACTGTGTTATCTAAAACTACTGTATGTTTTATATGTGTCTTGTCACTGTGTTACCTACAACTACTGTATGTTTTATATGTGTCTCATCACTGTGTTACCTACAACTACTGTATGTTTTATATGTGTCTTGTCGCTGTACTACCTATCACTGCTGTATTTTGTGTATGTGCATAACTCATTTTGTTTCCATCCGACATCAAGAAAATTGGTACGTTGACAACAATGATGAAGTCCCTGTTTGTGGAAACATTACAGGAGCAGGGTAGGTTATGCTAGTTAGAATTATTTTGATGTTAAAGAAATATAACAGTATTTTATAATTCATAGTGGAGGATGTTGGTAACCATGCATGTTTGCATCCTTTTGTCTTGTGAACTGTCAGTGATTTCAAATAAAATTTACCTTTATAAAATAAAAATAAAACAAAAGCAAACTTAATAAGAGCTTATAAAAAAAAAGACATTTTCTTGCCTGTTTCATCGTCATCATCATCATGTAGCAGGTCCTTTTGCAGAACGTTACTCTCATCATGGTCTACTTAAAAGAAACACAGTCTCTTGCCAGCTCTCCCACCTCATGTACAGTCATACTCAAGGAGTCACTTATATCCTGTGCCCATCTTTGTGTTGGTTGGCCCCTGCCCCTCCTTCTTGGTACCAAGCCTTCTGCTATTATTTTTCTAATCCGTCGTGGCTCTTGATATGACCAAAATATTTCAGCTTCTGAGACAGGATGCTGTTTATTAGCCAATCTTCCTTGATGTTCAGATCTTTAATGATGTCAGTATTTCTCCTCTTCTTTGTCTAAGATATTCTGAGAATCTTTCTTTCTTGCCTGTTTACAAGCCTTAATTCACTAAAAACTGTACTAGAGTGATATGAGTCAGAAACTCAATGCTGTTTTAAAAGATCTAATGTGGAGACCCTAATGTGAAAGACTGAGCTTACTTATTGTATTTAGGTAGCAATGTAATCAAAGGGAGAACAGACAACAAAATAAGACATGAAAAATTAAGAGGGAATGTGTTAAAACTGAATTAAAATTAAACCATGTACAAAACCTGATATTTCTCTAATGTTTAGTCAGTCTTGCTTGCAAACCTTCATTAACTGGTGTGCTTGTACATAATAGAAAGAATAAAACTATATAACATAACCACTGAGAGAGAGAACTAAATAGAATCCATTGTTTGAAGATGTGAGGAAGACTGTAAAAGGCACACATTGGAAAATCTGAATATAGCATAATTAGAATGGGTTTTTACTTGATCCTTCAGAGAAAAAGAAGAGATGGAAGGGAAGAACTAAAAATTCAAGGAAAAGACCAGAAGAATCAGGTTAATAATATGAAGGGAGTCATTACAGGTGCCCAAGTTATAACATCTGTAGAGGTTGAAAAGGGTATCCAGGATCTGCCATACATTGAGACTTTGTAATCTCAAGGGCCACACCTCCAGGAGAAAATATAGATACACAGTTGATTCATGATCTGTGTTTTAATGGGGAATAATAGGCATTAGAAGAAAGAAGATCATGTTTTTCTGTTGTGATTGTAAGTACCAGGTACTAGCCCTATATGCCCACATGCATGAGGGCATGGAAAGGGGTCCTTGACTTACCATTTTGGCAATATGATTTATGGTTGACATTTAATATTTTCTTGCTAGCTTGTGCCCCATAGGATATTTGTGTCTGCCTGATGTTGGAGATAACCCAAGAAATGGCTTTCTCAGTTTTGATAACTTTGGCTGGGCACTCCTCTCCAGTTTCCAGCTGATCACCCTAGATTATTGGGAAGACATTTACAATAAGGCGAGTGTTTAAAATTTTAAAAATGGAGTTGCATATCCTTTACAGTATTTGCTGACTAATTCCAGCATTTGTTGACTGTTAATGGTTTTACTAGACAATTTTATGTTCACTAGTTTGCCAGTTCTTTTGAATGGTCAGTACTCCATACCATTGTTGAAATCATACAAAGCAGTCTACTGCCAAATTACCTGCAGTTGAATCCAACAGAATATTTAAATGTTATGAACCATGTTTGTAACCATCAGGCTGTAGATGTCTTTACCACTTACATATTCAAAGATGGTTGCTTACAATTGTGAATCTGTCTCAGTTGTCTTTAAGATTAAGGACCATTAACAGCTGCAAACATTATTAAAGTCAATCATTCTAGGCAGTTGTTACAAAGTGACATGCGTGTGACATGCTAACATGCCTAAAATAAAGACTGTACAGTCCCCCAAAGTGTGCATGTCAGACGGGACCACAAACGCCTATCACATTTTTCAGGCCTGCACACTATACTTACAACCATGAAAAGAAACATTGCTTCAAAAACACAATGGGCAAAGCAAGCTATGGGAAACCATTGAAGACCTGCAATTGATATGTTGAGTTCACAAGAAGAAAATTAGCACAGCATGAACTGTGACTAGGAAGTTCACCAAAGGGGTAAGGAAAATGATGTACACATATGCTGATGAATGTTTTCACCAAAGTCTTTATCAACACATCAAACAAATAGGAATCCAGACCTCAGCAAAGGACAGAGGAGATACTAGAAAAGACTTGCAAAAATCAGAGACAGGCAAAGCTGTTGTGACATAAACATGTGAGAAACATGCATTATAGTAGTATGTTAATATAGATGTGATCACTGAAAATGAAATACAACTACAGGAAATGATGGTCATATTTGTAACAGAATGTCAAACCAAAGGTTTTTTTTTACAGTGGAAAAATAGAAGTAATAGTAATTTTTAAAAAATTGTTTACAGAATGCAAAATCAATGTAAATGAGTCTTAAACAAGTTGATATATTTGAGTATTTGTTTACTTTGTTATTAGCAAATGGAAGATAGGTTAAAGAAGTTAAATGTTGAAGAGCTCAAGCAAAGACAGCTTTTCACAAAATGAAGAATATTCTCTGCAATCTTTCTTTATCAGCTGATTTCGGAAAGAAAATTACTGGAGGCTGTTATGGGAGGCTATATAATGCTAATCCTGCTGTACGTAAATGAATCGTAGAAAGTCAGCTGACTGGTGAATAATTATGGGGAAGCTGCAGAGATGTGAGTTTATAGATCAATGAGGATATACTCTAGTTCAGGTGTGACCTTCTAGGAAGTTTAAAAACACTGTGACTGGTCCAGCAAACTGACAGTGGTTTATTTAGTGCTCATAGAAGTATGAAGCAGTCTCACGGACTGACTAGATGAAAGGGATAGTAGAATTACACGTCAAATTCGTAGACCAAGAGAAATAAGAGAAATCTTTTGATAGAATTTATAGGAACAAATTATGAAAGATACTGAAGGATTACGGAGTAAACCAACATCTTATTACATTGTGCAAGAGTTTATATGTAGACATTCAGTATACAGTTAAAACAAATACAGGAAATCAGAGAAGTTCTAATCAGATCTGGAGTGAGACAGGAGTGTTTTATCACGACTGCTGTTCAAATTTGTAAATCAGCCAACACCAGTGAAGGGGACAACATTGGGAAATGGCTAAATGAATTGCTTTTCCCTGATGGCCAGGCAATCGTAGTAACAACAGCAGTACAAGTACAAGAATGTTGAATTTAAGAATCGACATCACAGCACTCAGGACACCCCCCATAAGCGCTTGTCCCCATTTTCAGCAGCAAGCGAAGAGTTAAAATTCCGATGGTACCAGTAACTGTCTGATTGTATATCCGTCTCACCTTTCCTCTGAGTTTCGAGCGTTGGCCAGATCCCTCTTGTAACTCTTCGCAGTGCCATTCTCCTCAGACAGTAATAGGTCCTGAACCAGCCAGTCTATCTGCCTGCTCATTTCCAAACACACTGGCATTTCCTGTAGAAAATATCCAAAGGATGCCAACTACCCGGGACCTCTGAAGTGATGCTTGCCACTCTGCACGGAGCATGCCTGTCTCCACCTTTCTCAGCATGCTCTGTGAGTCAGTTACAATGACGACATCTGTGTACAGCTGATTCTAAAGCCAGCGGGAGGCAGCAGTGACTGCCTCCAACTCTATTCTCAAACTAGACATTGCGATATATGACAGGCTTTGTTGCACCAAGCGACGTCCATCCGCCTTTGCTATGAACCCCCATGCACTTCGTCTGCCCCTCAACACAGAGCCATCTGTATATACAGTCACATCACTTGGGCGGGAATTGTCATGAATCATTTGTTGAACTTCTGATTCTACAGCACCAGCTGGCCAGTCCCCGCAATCACGTCCCAAAGTGATTAGAACCCTAGACAAGTCTGAAACATGATCAAACACTCTGACCCACTCCTCTCCTTGCCTAAATTTATCAATCCTGCACACATGTCCAATTGTGTCTTCAGCTTGCGCCATCCAAGACTTTTCTCTTTTCAGTCTGTGACCCTTAGCTCTATCCAGGGCTTCATGCAGGAGATGTCTCTTGTTCGCTGCTACTCTGATCTATGACTTTGCGTTGCAGAACTTTGAGCCTATCTGCAATAGTAGGCAGTGCAAGTATATATACTACCGGGGTATCTCTTGTACATCCCAGAATCACCCGCATGGCTTCATTCTGTATGTGTTCAAGTTTCATCAGCTGACTCTTTGATATGGTGGGCAGGCCAAGTCCATAATCTATCACCGACAGGATTGCATGCTGGAACATTGTGAACAACATTCTTTGTTCCATGTCCATTGCTGCCATAATCTATAGAGCATTGAGTCCTTTTTGGTATTTCACTACAACTGCATCCACATGATCCCTGAAGGACAGGCTTCTATCGAAAATGATACCCAGGTACCTCAGTTTGCTTTCTCTTTTGATGTTACTATTATTAACTGGGAGGTTTGGAACCTTAACTTTTACAATTCTATTGTCCAGAGAGCACCACAAAACAGCTTTTCTGAGTTGAAGACAGCACCCATTTCTGCACAACAGTCAGTCACTTTGTCTACAGTTGCCTGTAGCTAATGATCTATCCATCGCCTATCTCACCCCTGCCTATAAATTCAAGAATATAGTAATAGATTCCACTTAGCTTGCAACATCTGTGATATGAAGATCAACATAGACAAAAACTGAAGTGATGACATTCTTCAGAAAAGGAAGAACCAACAATATAAAAGTGGATGAACATCAGTTAAAGCAGGCGAAGGATTTCGCATATTTAGGAAGTATTTTTTCAGAAGACAGAAGAATTAATAAAGAAATCAAACAAAGATGCAATAAAGCCAGTCACGTTTTAGACCAAATGACACCAGTTTTGAAATGCAAGGAAGTGAATAGGAACACTGAAAGAGCACTGTTCAACACAATATTCTTATCAGTGCTATGCTATCAATGCCAAACATGGACACTGTCTTCAGAAGCCAGAAGAATTATCGTCACCACAGAAATGAAGTGTTTACATATTATGCTAGGTATACCGTGGAAAGATCCACTTAGGAATGATGATATCATGAGGAGAGTTGTCTCAGAACCAATACTGAACTTCATCGGTAGACAACAGATCAAATGTGTTGGCCATGTAACAAGATTGGCAACAGACAGGGCATCACAGAGAGCAGAGTTATACAGACGCAGATGGACTGCATAAATATCTGAGACACTGAAAAATACTTTATTTGAAGTAAACAAAAGGGTCTATTTCAGAGATCTCTTCCTGCCCAATCCCTGGGAGGCATTACAGGAGTAGAGAAAAGAAGGACAAGATGAGAACACCATGGTCAGATAAACAAGTGTAAAGTAGACATCTTGAAAGAAATTGAAGAGACAGTTTCTAACAGTGACTAGGTCATCTCAATAGGCCATGTTTATTCTCAAACTGTCGTCTTAAAAACTGCTAGATTTGGGATGTTTATTCGTATTTCATTTTGGATTTAAGTGTGATTTATGAGTTAGCAAATCTAAAATTGTTTACAACTGGTGTGTTAGTAGGTCAACAGAGTATCTCCTGTCTGTGGTATTTGCTTATGGAGATGGTTTGCCAGAGTCCTGTTGAAATGGAATCTTCATTACCCATTTATATTTCTGGTCTCTGATGTGCATGTGTGTGTGTGTTTTGTTGTTGGTATAGTTTTTTTTTTTTTTTTTTAAAAGACAACAATGAAATTAAAGTCATGTGCCAACTATGGCAAATATATTTGGCATTTATGTTTCAGATTCTGAAAGCAAACAGACCATGGGATATTGTATACTTCATTGTGACAATATTTTTTGGAGCATTTTACTTGATAAACCTGATCTTAGCTGTTGTATCAACATCATATGAGGAGGAAGCTGTTAGCGCTGTCAAGGTAAAATGGAAGTCTGGACAATTTTCTAAAATACTTGGCAATAATTTTATGAAGGAAATATAACAGAAGAAATCTGTATAAACACCATCACATTTAATTGACTCTTTCTGTCCAAGGATCCGTGGTAGTGTAGTGAAGGTTTGCCTACCAGTCCTGTAGTCTTGGATTCATATCTCCACCTGACACATTTTTCGGGGGGATCTTGGCAATTTATGCCTGGAAAGAGAGGAAGAGGAAGGCCAAAGAGAAGATGGGTGCAGGATGTGGGTAATGATCTCCAGATGGATGTCACGGACGCGAAAGGTTTTTCAGAGGGTTATGGGAGCAAGGTCCTGCAAAGGACATGCTACTGACTGACTGACTATCTTGGCAACCCAGCTTAAAATGAGTACCAGGAAATATTCTCTGAGAATAAAGTTGGTTTGGCCAAATGTTGGTCACATTGTCAATTGAGTGCCAGTTGTCCTTTACAAATGTGATTAGCATCATATTCACCATGCAGCATGTGGCATAAAAAGGAATCTTTACTTTCTGTCCTTAACTTATATCATTTTAGAGTAAATGAAATTCTGAAGTTGATGAATGAAAGAAGAAAGAAAAAGAATGGTACATAAGAATATTCTAGTACAAATAAACAAATTCAGACAGGCAAAAGAAACCTAGCTCAATTAGATATGCACAGAGATTGGGACAAATCATATTCCATGTACCAAAATAAAAATATATAAATAGAGAAGATGTGACAACAACACCATCGAAGGATGGTGAAATATCAATGGGGCAAAGTGATATAATTAAGACAGAATACTTTGGGGAACTGTGTGATGATGATAATAGATGAGGAGTAGATTTGCGAGACAACAGTGAAGGCCTACCAATACTGGCTGTAGATGTGAGGATGCTTTATATTACATGAAGAAAGAAAAGGCACCTGGACCAGACAGCATCACACTGGAAGAAAAAAATTAAGTCTTGTGATATTTTGATATTGAAGTAATAACAAAATATCATTAATGGCGTTTGTAACTGTGATTACATTCTTAATGATATACTAAAATCAATATTTATTGCTCTGCCAAAGAAACCAGGCACTTTAAAACGTGAATAAAACATTGCATAATAAGCCTTATGAGTCATGTGACAAAGATGTTACTGAGAATAATTGTTAGAAGAACAAGAAACAAGACGAAATCAGAAATTAGTAAAGAACATTGTGATTTTTTGGAAGAAAAAGATTGAAACAGTGTCATATATATCTCCAGGATTATTTTGGAAGGAGCTATAGAACTAGAAACCTATCTGTACTTATGCTTCATTCTTCTTCTTCTTTTTCTTCACTTCCTCTTTTACCGCTGCGGATGTCGAGGGAGATATAAGGTTCTGTTTCTGGCTCTTCTGGCCACCTCGACAATAGGCACATCGTGCTGTTGTAGAGCTTCTCTGATGTTGTCCTTACATATTGTTCTTGGTCTACCTCTTGCTCTACGACCTTCTTCTCTTTCCATGTATGCTTTGTATGGTATGGTGTCACAAGGCATTCTCTCTAAGTGGGCAAACCATTTCACTTGCTGTCTTTGTATGTAATTTAGAATTGGTTCTTTGCCGACTTTTTCTCTTATCATCTCATTCCTGATCTTATCTCTTATGGTCACTCCTACAGCCCTTCTCAGACATCTCATTTCCATGGTTACTAATTTTCTTTTTATGGTTTGTTGTGAGTGACCATGTCTGGCACTGGTAGCACAGAGTTGGAATAAATATGCTTTGAATAAGATGTCTCTTTTTGCTGATTGGGATTGTCTTATGCTGTAAGAGGGGGGCTAGCTGTCCCAATACTTGGTTTGCTTTACTGCATCTAATGTTAATTTCTTTATCCAATTTCCCATCTCCGGTAAATGTAGTTCCCAGATATTTAAACTCAGATGCCTGTTTAATGCCTTTGTTCTCTACTGCTATGTTTAGATCTGTCTTCTTTTTTCCTATTGACATTACTTCTGTCTTTTCAGTGTTGATTCTCATATTATTTGTTTTACATTCTTCATTCATGGATGTTAGATGTTGTTGCAATTTCATGGCTGGTCAAGGCCTGGTCATCTGCAAAGAGAAATTCGTTGATCTTACTAACATTTTCATTCATGGGCTTGGCATTCTTGCATATACTGTCGATGTAGGTGATAAACAGCAGTGGTGATAAGACACACCCCTGTCTTACTCCAGATGTTACTGTGAATGGATGAGATGTTCCCTGATGTATTCTAACTACACTTCTACAATCTCTGTATAAACTTTTGCACACTTCGATGAGGTGTTCGCTTACTCCATATCTTGCCATTACTTTCCATAATAATTGTCTGTCGACTCTGTCAAATGCCTTCTCCTGGTCTACAAAGGCCACAAATAAGTTCTTATTGTATTCAATGTTCTTTTCTATTAACTGTTTAAGTGTGAAGATTGCATCTGTGCAGCTTCTATTTCTCCTAAATCCCATCTGTTCGTCTGCCAGCTGTGGTTCTATTACTTGTCTCAGTCTTGTTTCTATTATCTTGGCATACATTTTGCCAACATGGCTTAAAAGAGAGATGCCTCGGTATTGACCGCATTCTCATTTGCTTCCTTTGTTCTTCCACAATGGTATAACTATTGCATGTTGCCAATCAATAGGGGCCGTTTGTTGTACCCATGCTGCATTAAATATTCTGTGAAGCCATCTGATGCTGCTTTCACCTGCTGTTTGAATTATTTATGTTGGTAATCTATCAGCTCCTGGGGCTTTATATTTGGGAGACTGCTTAATGACTTTTTCTATTTCATCTATTAGTATGTGTGGTTCTAACACTGTTGCTCTGTGCTCTTCAGTTGTTCTTTCCTGATGATCTCCTAGAGGATTATAGAGCTCATTGAAGTATTCCCTCCATCTTTCTGCTATCTCGGGTGGATCTATCAATGGCCTTCCTGTCTTATCATTAATTATTTCAGTGGGGTTGTAGCTCTCATCTCTTTTCCGCATATTTTCAACTACTTTAAAAAATTTTCTGCTTGCTGTTTTCTCATTTTCTGCTAATGATTCACCGAAACGTTCTCAGGATGCTTGTTTTGCTTTCTTGACACTCCTGTTGGTTTCTCTCCTTTGCAGTCTATAGTTTATATAATCTTCTTCTTTCTTTGATTTTATCCACTGTTTATATAAGTCCTTTTTCTCTTTAATTGCGTCTTTTACTTCTTTGCACCACCAAGGTGAATATTTGTTATTTCCCCGTCTGTTTTATATTTACTCCATTCTTCTTCAATATTGCCAACTACATGTGGAAGTTGTTTGAATGCTGTCTCTACTTTCTGTTGTAACTGTTCTTTTACTCCTTCCTGTTTCAAATTTGCTATCTTGATGAGATCCTTGTTTTTGGTTAATTTCTTTCTGTGTTTCTTTAATGTAAGATGTTTTGCTGTTAACACAACTTTTTTATGGTCAGTGTCACATAGACCATTAGGGATTGCTCTTGAATCAAGAATTCTCCTTCTTCCTTGAACTCTGGTAAGTATAAAGTCAATCTGGCTCTTGATGGAGACATCATTCCATTTGTACCAAGTGTAAAGTTGTGAATCTCTATGGTCAAAGAATGTGTTCGTAATAAAAAGATTGTGCTGGCTGCATAGATCCAATATTCTTTGACCATTTCCATTTCTATCATTGTTCTTAGCTGCATGTGGACCTAGAAACTGTTCTGTTATTTCTTACCCTCCCGTTGAAGTCACCCATTACATATAGTATGCTGCTTCCCTCAACTTTCTCTGTCTCATCAGACAGATCGTCAAAGAATTCATCTTTCTGCTCTTCTGTATAATTATCATTGCATGGTGCATATAATTGTATATATGTTTCAGCTTGTTCTCCTCTTTTTATTTTCAAAGTAATAATTCTATCTGAGTGATCCTTAACATAGCCATGGTCAGATACCGTTTGATCAGTCCATTTATATCTCATTGTGTTTTCTGTAGCGATAATAAATCCATTGCCGGCTTGCTAGGCATGTCCCAACTTCACCAGAGCCCCGTTGGCCAGAACGTTTCGGGGTGACCCAGGGTGGCCTTCATGGCTACCGTAGCGGTCCCTTGGCACAAGGCCACACCATACTTCGCCCACACCTAGCAATCCCCTACTTTGTTCTGTTACCACCTCTCACAACACGGACGTGGGGTTGGACTTTGAGAGGCTTCATTGAAAGCATTTGATGTGTGAAACATGAGTAAATAATCAAACCTCTAAAACAATTTAACATTAGTGGACATGATCTACTAATAATGAAGAACATATATTGAGGCGCAAGGATGTGTACTATCACCTGTTTGCTTTCTTCTTCTTATTCTTTGTTCACCGGCTGTAAGGTCTAGCCGAAATTCCTGGTTATTCGTCCATTTGGTTTTTTGTTTCGTGCCAGGGCCTGAGTTTTGCATGTGCATCTGTTTTACTGGCTTTTTTTGTGTTCAGTTAGTTGTTCCTTGTCGCTCAGACTCTGACTTTGAAGGAAGCCCTCAGTTAGTTGACTCATAGGACATGCTTGTTGGGGAGGCAGTGGATCTGTTCTTGTTTTCCTCCACAGTGGGGCCCTGGAACCCACACAAGTAGATTTGCTTTCATTATACAGTAAATATAAAATTAGGTTTACCATGGATGTGCCAAAAATTATGGTTAGTGATCATAACATAAACAAACTAAGTTATACTGATGACACCATTTTGGTAGCAATAACAAGTTAGAAAGAACTACAGGGATTGTTAGATATGGTAGTGGTTGAATAGGGATAAAAAGGTTTCAGCTGGAATAATGGGAAGACAAAAGTAATGGTAATATCAAAGAAAAGAATAATATATAATAAAAGTCAGAGGCATTGTATTAGGACAAATAGAGAAATTTAAGTATCTAGGCACATGAATAACATCTGAATGAAGATGTTTTACAGAGATAAAGAATAGAATAGGACAGATAAAGAACAGAAAAAATCCATTTCATTATAGGCTAGAAAAAGAATTCTTGCATCCTATGTATAGCCAGTTTTAACATATGGCTGTGAATAATAAACCAGCCAAACAATTTCTTGAGGCCTCAGAGATATATACTTACAGAAGAAGAATCTTTGCAACTCCTTGGACAGCTAAAAAGAGCAACCGAGGTGTTCCGAAAGAGGCAAGGGCTCAAAGACAACTTATCAGAGACAGTCATCGTTTTTTGGGTCATGTGTTTATAAGAAGGAAACTGGAACAGATTGTGTGTGACCACCGGAAAAGATCTTTGGAAAAGAAACAAAAAAACACAATGCGGGATCATTCTTGACAGCTTTTTATCACAGCATTGGGACAGGAAACTGAGGGGGAGGGGGGGGGGGGTTTGTGGAGAAGTATGATTGCCCCACCTGCCAGCAAGGCACTTGTTAATGATTATGTTCCTTGTGCATTTGCAGGAAAAAGAACGAGAGAAAAAAGAGAGTGCACGGAAGAAACACAATGCCATGTACGATGTCTCATACCTACAGATGAAAGCTAAACTGCAGGCTGCTGCTGCTATCATTCAGTCAGGTTCAGACGAAATAGATGTCAATACCAGTGCAGTGGACGGATTGAGAATAATGATACCTGGAGAAGAAATGAATGAGACTTTCATGCCTACCCAGTTCCGGAGGGTGACACCTGAGGTAAATAATATTTGTTTACTTTTTGTCTTGGGTTTGTTTCTTGAATTAAGTAAGTTAGAAAAGGTCTGTGGTGCATTGGGCATTCTAAACTCATTCTTATAGACAAGCTGGCACCAGTGGGTGATGCAGTCAACATCAGGCCGACAACCTTTACTTCCCAGTACTTTACCTAGTACCCATTTTAGGCTAGATTGACATGGGAGCCAGTGTAAGTTTTGAAAAAAGAAATCAAATTTAGTTTGGATTTCTTTTCTTATTTCTTTTCTTCTTCTTGGTGATTACTGACTATAAATTTGAGCGGAAAGTTTCTATTTTTCATCCACCTCTGGACTTTAGTCTTGTTCCCGAACCTGAATGTTGTGTGCAAATCCATTTTTCAGGTATGACTTTTTTTGTATGCAGATTGTGAGTTCCTTGCTTCTCAGGCAGACGCACTCTGACTTCGAAAACAAAAAAGTTTACACTGGCAGAACACACTTTTAATCATGTCAGGTTTTATTTACTATTTCAAAGTTTCAACCGTCTTCTCTTCTGTCTCTGCTGCATCTAGGTTGGAAAAACAGGCTGTCAACTCATCTTCCAACATGAACACTGTTATCTTTACTCACAACAGACATTCTCCTGGCCACAAGTGTTACTTTTCAGACTCATAGGAGGTCAGCATCAGCCTTCATCCATCGACTATGTTTATCACTGCCACGCTCGCTCAGCTGCCACTTTCTCAACTATCATGTGGTCAGGTACACTTTACTGCTTAAGTAAATTTAACATGCAGATGCACACACATTCATAGCACTTTGCACTTTCAGAGTGCCAAATACAGAATTATCCTTAGTTCTTTCACATTTCTCATCATCTTTTCAATTCTCACACATTTTTCGTAACATTGCTCAGTTATTCTCATGTTGCATAATTGTCCTGTCAACCTCATGTTTGCTATTTCATAGTGGTGGCCTTGTTAAGCCCTACCTCTTCCATACACTTTTTGCTTGCTTATTAGCTATTTAAGGGCAGTATAAACACATCAGCAGAATTGCTACATAGATTATTTAGTAAAGTCTAGGAGACCGAAGAAATACCAGCAGACTGGTTATCATATGAAATTCTGGAAACTGCAAAGGCAGATGCAAAGAAAATATTGGCCTATGACAGTTGGAACAATTTGTAGAGACGATGGTGAACGTGTAACAACAGACAAGGAGAAAAGGGAGGTTTTTTTTCCTTAGGTTTATAGCTCAGACAGGTCATAATAATGTAGACATCAGGGATGTAGTTAGAGAGGAGTTAGCTGGCACCTTGAAGAATATGCATTATAAAGACATGATACAAGTAGAAGATTTCAAACAAATTTTGAAAAAGGCAAAGGACACTGCACCAGGGGCTGGTGGGGTCAGGTATGGCCACATGAAGGCTTTAAGTGATGTAGACCTGGCGAAGATGGCTGACTGTTTTAAACAGAGCATTAAGACAGCATCATTACCACAGGACTGGGTGCACAGCTATCTAATCCCACTACCAAAACCTTTTAAGGATCATTCAAAGCTTAGTGGCTTTAGAATCATCACCTTACAAAACACATTTGGGAAGATAGTTGCTGTAAAGCTGCAAGTATTTTTGGAAAGGTGGAAGCTTCTCCAAAGAGGTCTGGGAAGTTACGGGCCAGGAAAGGACACATTGTCAAATGCGGCCACTTTTGGTTTTGACGTCTACTAAGGGTTTCAGAACAGACAGGAAACTATGGCAGTAGCACTGGATCTCAAGGATGTTTATAACAGAGTAAGATATGATATCTTGATGACTGCACTGAAGGATAAGGATATCAGTCCATGGATGGTGAATTGGGTTAAAGCTGTCCTGTATTCACGTCGGGTTGTTCTCCGACTGGGTTCATGGACCTCAGAACCATGCACTTTGGCCCCAGGACTGCCACAGGAACCCGTCATCTCGCCTGTGCTCTTGAACCTGTATACAAGCAAGATTGCAAACCTAGAAACACCAGGAGTTGGAAGGATACTGGCTTTTGCAGATGATATACTTGCAAAGAGGGGTTAAACAGCCTGGGAGCTACAGTAGACAAAGTGACTGAGTGCTGTACAGATATGAGAGCTGTCGTCCACCCAGAAAGGGCGTCTGTTTTGTGGTGTTCTCTGGACAACAGGATCACTAAAGCTAATGTCCTAGGTCTCATGATAGATGGTAGAAACGTCAACAGAAAGAGCAAACTGAAGTATCTTGGAATAACATTGACAGGAGCCTGTCCTTTAAGGACCATGCTGAGAGTGTTGTGACAAGATGCCAAAAAAGAATTGATGCACTTAAGACTATGGCTGCAGTTGACATAGAGCAGAGAATGCTTTTCAAACTATATAGGCACCTGATCCTGTCATTTGTTGATTATGGCCTGGGACTGCTTACCGTCTCAAAAAGTCAGATGGACAAACTAGAGCGCATACAGAATGCAGCTATGCAGGTCATTCTGGTTGCACCAGAGAAACTCCAGTGGTGTGTATGCGATACATCCTTGGTTTGCCGACTGTTGCAGGTAGGCACAAGGTGCTGCAGACGAAATCATATCTCAAGGCAGCTGCAGACACAGACCACCCTTTGCACAAAGCTCTGGGTGCAGTTAAAGATCAGCGGCTAAAAAGAGAGAAGTCATGGATGGCTCAGACAGAAGACACGGACAGACAGGTTTGCATCCTTGAGTACATTAGGCGAGGAGAGGAGTGGGTCAAAGTACCTGCCCAAACAGTCAGACTTGTGTAGGGTCATAATCACACTGAGCGGGAATGCAGAGACTGGCCAGAAGGTGCTATGAAGGTGAAAATTCAGTAATTAATTCAAGATAATGCTCACTCAGAGGATTTCATCATTTACACACAGTTCAGTGTTGAGAGGCAAAAGAATTGCTTGGGGTTTGTTAGCAAAAGTTAATGGTCGACGTTTGGTGCAGGAGAGCCTAGCATATATACCACAACATCCAGCTTAAGAATGGAGGTGGAGGCGGTTCCGCTGGCTAGAGAATATGACACACACACTCATCGTGATTGTAACTGACTCAGAAAGCATGTTGAGGAAAATCAGGACAGGCATGCTTCGTGCAGAGTGGCATGCCTCGCTGCAGACACGGGTGAGGTGTATTGTGTGGATTTTTTCACCAGGTACGCTGGTGTGTTGGGAAATGAACAGGCGGTCAGACTGGCTGGCTCTGCACAACTTGGTGGAATACTTATGCATGATAAGACCGACGTGGTTAGTGCCTTGTGGGAGAGCGCGTACAGTTCGGAGGAGCAGATGGATCACCACAGTCTGGTGAGATTGATGCAGGGGGGGAGTGACGAGAGGTTCTGGCAGATGCTCGAGGCTCAGAGGAAAGGCACGACAGATGTTTAATCAGAATGCTACTGGCACCATTAGTATCGGAACTCTTCCATGGCTGCTAAAGATGGGGACGGAGCGCTAATGGGAGTGCCCCGAGTGCTGTGATGTCGGTTCTTGAATCAAATCAAATGAATCAATCAACTGCCCCCCCCCCCCCCCAAGTGATCAACTGGAGTGTGAAAACTATAGAGGAATTATGTTGCTGTCAGTTCATGGAAAAGTATTAAGTAGGATTATTTTAGAAAGACTGAAAGATGCCATTGATAAAAAGCTAGAGATGATGAACAGGCAGGTTTTTGGCCAAACAGATCCTGTATTGACCATATAGCTGCATTACATATAATAATCGGTCAGTGATTCAGGTGATCATGTAGGATAGGGAAACATGACTTTGAGTGTATTTTCAACACCTCATGTGATTCTTGGTATGCATAAATAGTAGCTAACCGTACATAATATGTTACTTGGCATGAAAGAAGCTAGCCTCTTGCTTCTTTTAATTGTTTTGCAATTTCAAAATGTTTTATTTTTATTTATAAAATCATTTGGCAGGATGCAGATCACTTGGTAAGATGATTATATTTTAAAGCACAATTTGTTTGAATTTAACTATTCGAGATTTCTTAGTTTTTTTTTTTTTTTTTTTTCTTCAAAATATTGCACTATTTGAAGAAGGTACTCACTTAACAATATCACTCCGAGAAGGCTAAATCTGGTCACTTCCTGTTGTGACACAGTCCGGTAAACGAGGATAAATCACCATTTCTGCAGTGACCTCTTCTTGAAAAGCACTGGCTGAAATTCCTTTTGGCTTGAAGTCAACTTATCACAAAAGTCAAAAAGAAATAGTTATAATTTTTAATCCTGTTATGAGAAGAGGGAAACTGGAATGTCTTGTGACCACTGGTAATATATGTGGCAAAAGAGACAGAGGAAGACAGCGCAGGCAGATTCTTGACAGCCTTTTGTCACAGCATGGAGCGGTGTCAACTCATGAACTGATACACGCAGTTGCGGACCACAGATTGTGGAGAGGCATGATTGCCCAAGCCAGTTGGCTTTTCATTTTGAAATGTCCTTAGTTCTCTTTGTGCCTCTGTGGTGTTTAGGAGGCCCAGATGTGAATATATTAACTAAATATAGCACTTAGAAGGGTTTCCTTGGGAATCCAGTCAGGGCTGTGCGATAGATTTTCTCAGTATGATGCAAGTCCAAAACTTTGTAAACAAAAAGACATGATTCTGACATTCAGGAAGTTGTGTTTGTTTTTGAATTTGTACTGTAGTTATTAAGAATTCACTTATGTAATTGTTACTGTAGTGTGCTCCTGATGAGATACGGCAAAATATGCTAGGCAATAAATTGTGATAAATGCTGTTTGTGTTTTCTTTGTGAAAGGATTTTTTTTTTTGAAATTCCCATGTGTTCATGACTCATTGACAGGGTGAAAAGGTTAATGCTGTGGTTTATTGCTTTCTGACAAACACAAAATGTTTTGAACTCCATCCCAAATGGATAAGCATACACCCAGATACACAGACGTCCTCCTAAAGACACGCACTCACACACGTACTCCAGAAATGAACACACAGATACACAAACACATACTTAAGCTACATGTATAACACAAACTGGATAGACACACACATTCTTATATAAACACATACATACTTACATAAAGAAATA